GCCTAGTTAACAAGGTGGATGGCCTTCACAAAGAATTGAATATGGGGAGTAGACCACTTATAATTCCAATGAGCCAATAAGCTGCAGCAAAAGATGCTGACTTAGCCTTTCTGTTTTCATCACCTCACCTCCATCTCATCTCACTTCAGTTCTAGAATACAGACAGTCAGTTTTGGTCTAATCTGAGTTGCTTAGCATGTCAGCCATATGAATTGAGGATATAAATATAAAAAGAAACAAAGAACATCTTCTCTAAGGTTGACAGCCCTAATGTGTAAGAAAAAATTTTTTGCACCTTATCTGAGAGATAATTTTGGATTACTTTCAAAGGGAAATGGTTTTGCAATGTTCTATGTAGTGTGTCAGACCTGCCCCAGCTAGATCCCTAGGAAAGTAAGAATCTCAACTCCATTTGGTTGAAGTGATAGGTTCTTTTACTAAGGATTAGTAGTTGCAGCAAAAGTAAGGCTAGGTCTGAAGTTCCCATGCAAAAGGTTACATTGTTCCCTCTTTCTCCAGCCCTCCTCCCTTGAACTGTCCATCTGTGTTCAATGGCATGTCGTTTAGATGTTCTGGGAACAGCTTAAATGTTTAGCTCCATTCAGTGCAATTTTCCATTCTTTTCCCATGCTACGTGTCCTTGAAGACTGGAATAGGCTGGTTCTGGTTTCTGTCAATCGTCTCCCCCCCCCCCCCTTCCCTCTCATCTCTATTCTCTACATTCCAATTGCCCCCCTCCACCACCCCTAACAATAATAATAACAATAATAACAATAATAACAATAACAACAACAATAATAGTAATAATAATAACAACAACAACAACAACAACAACAACAATAATAATAATAATAATAATAATAATAATAATAATAATAATAATAATAATAACAATAATAATAATAATAAATTTGGAAGGGGTCTTGGAGGTCATCTAGTCCAACCCCCTGCTCAGGCAGGAAACCCTATACCATTTCAGACAAATGGCTGTCCAGTCTCTTCTTAAAATCCTCCAGTTTTGGAGCATTCACCGCTTCTAGAAGCAGGTTGTTCCTCTGGTTAATTGTTCTAACTGTCAGGAAGTTTCTCCTTAGTTCTAGGTTGCTTCTCTCCTTGATTAATTTCCATTTGTTGCTTCTTGTCCTGCCTTAAGGTGCTTTAAAAAATAGCTTGACTCTCTCTTCTTTGTGGCAGCCCCTGAGATATTGGAACACTGCTATCATGTCCCCCCTCGTCCTTCTCTTCATTAAACTAGACATACCCAATTCCAGCAGCCGTTCCTTATATGCTTTAGCCTCCAGTCCCCTAATCATCTTTTTTGCTCTTCTCTGTACTCTGTACAATTTATGACAGGATGCCAGCAAAGTGCAGAGCTGAATATGGCAGATCTGACATGTAATCAAAAAGAAATCTCAATTCCATCCTTCCAGACTTTATTAAGAAGAAAGGCCCTATATTGCAATGTAATATGTCAATAGTTTGCAACTTTTAGAGATTTATATTTATCTAAGTGAAGTCCAGAGACTATTTTGTTAATGTTTATGTCGACTACCATTTTCCTTCAAGATTTGTCCTGTTTTTATTGATGTTCCTTTGTTTTCTGCTTAGTCTTTCCCTCAGTCCCAATGTGTAGAAAATTGTCCTCCTGGATTTGTCAAACAGGTTCAGGAAGGAGAGCCAGTTTGCTGCTATGACTGTGTTCCTTGTCCGAAGGGGACCTTCTCCACTCAGGAAGGTGGGTGACTCTGGAGGAAAAGATATTGGATTCATGCAGAGTATTTTGATCAATGTGCATGTTAAAACAGACAATCTAAGCTTGACTATTTGATTGTACTTAATTTTCAACATGCCCTATCCATAATGGTAGGAATAACAAAAATATCCTGAAGAATGAGAAAGCAAAATAGAGAAGGATGCCATGGATTGGGCAAGGTTGCTTCTTTCAAAGGAAATCTCTTTTCTACTTGTCAGTTTTGAAGGGTCCTTCCATTTTGCCTTTCATAGGAACATCTGAATCCTTTAAAACTTGAGGAATGGTTTCATTTCAGATTATAAAAATATTATTACTTTCTGTTTTCTCAGATACTGAAAAATGCATCAAGTGCCCAGAAGATCAGTATCCAACTGAGGAAAGAGTCCAATGTATCCCCAAAAGAATAATCTTTCTGTCCTATAAAGAACATATGGGAAGTATCCTCATCACTTTTGCCCTACTCCTGTTCCTAACCACAGGCTTTGTTTTAATCCTATTCATTAAATACCGAGAGACTCCTATTGTCAAAGCCAACAACCGGGATCTCTCCTACATCTTCCTCGTCTCCCTCCTGCTTTGCTTCTTGTCTCCTTTTATCTTCATTGGTCAACCAATAAAAGCCACCTGCCTTCTCCGACAAACCATTTTCAGCATAATCTTCTCAGTTGGAATTTCTTCTCTCTTGGCTAAAACCATCATGGTGGTGCTGGCTTTCATGGCTACAAAACCAGGAAACCAGGTGAAAAGATGGTTGAGGAAGAGCTTGGTCAACTCCATCATACTTTCTTGTTCTGCAGTCCAAATTATCATCTGCTCCATCTGGCTGACAGTTTCTCCTCCATTCCCTGAAACTGACCTCTATTCCCAGGAAGAAGAAATTATCCTGCAATGCAACGAAGGGTTTGTTGTCATGTTCTACATCACTCTCAGCTATCTGGGCTTCCTGGCTGCCATATGCTTCACGGTGGCTTTCCTGGCAAGGAATCTGCCTGGGACCTTCAACGAAGCCAAGCTGATCACTTTCAGTATGTTGGTCTTTTGCAGTGTCTGGATTTCCTTTGTGCCCACCTACCTGAGCACCAAAGGGAAATACATGGTGGCTGTGCAGGTCTTCTCCATCTTGGCTTCCAGTGCTGGTCTATTGGTCTGCATCTTCATCCCCAAATGCTTCATTATCATTCTGAGGCCAGGCATGAATACAAAGGAGCAACTTACAACCAGAAGAAATGTATAAATGTGAGGAATTTCATCATTCAACATGCTCCAACAGGCCAAGCCTAGATATTAGTCCAAGCTGCTCTCCATACATGAGTGAGCCAACTATTAATGATTAAAGGGCAGCTAGAAGGTAGCATCCCTCATCCTTGAATAATAGAATCACAACACAGCCACAGATTTTTGATTAGTAAAGGCATCATGTATTTCCTTTTTCCTTACTCTATGTGAGGCTTGAAATACTCCACCCAGATATTTGAAACTTGACATTTGTGCAATGGGAATCTTGTGGATATGCCAGTGATAATTTGGGGAGTTCCAAAAATGCTATTATTTTAGTGTATCTACAGTTAAGGTCCTTTGAAGTGTTGGACTCAAGGTCTCAGTGTCATAGATGTTGAAGAAGAGAGGAGCTAAAATACGGCCTCATTAGATTTCTAGAAAAGAATTCCTATAGAATGGGATGTCATCCTGTCATTCAAAATCAACAGACAGAACCCATAGCCACAAAAATCTGGTAACCAGGCATTGAAGGTAGAAGCCAAGGGTTGTACAAGTAGGACAGCTTTCAAGTAGTGGACCAGAGAGATGGGACATCCTCTATTCCTCACTGTCAGGATGGACCTACCTGTCTCCTCAGCTTCCCACGCACGCACACGCACACACAGACACACACACTCACTGGGAGTTCTCCCTTCTAGACTAGGATATACCTATCAATGTACCCCCCCCTCCAGATAAGAAACAGAATTACTCAACAAACAACCCAGATAAACCAGGAACACAGGGATTCCCAACTGCATCTTCAAAGCACCTGGAGATCTTTTGAAGGGAAGGTGAGACACATCCTCAGAGATGGGAATGTCAAAAGAATGGCAAGAGAATCCACACAACCAGCTGAAGGACCACCAAGTTGCCCCAAATAATATTCTGGATTAATGTAGCAATAAATCAGGTCTCACCATCAACCATGCTGTGGACATTGTTACCATCTTAGATGCAGACCTCACGATCCACTATTTGTTTAATAAACAAATACACTTCAAAGTATAAAGGTTCTCAGTGTCTTACATGAATATTGAAGGACGAGTGTAAAGGGAAAAAAACCCCTCTATCCACCTCATAACTTATTCCATATTTACCCAAAGATACAGTTGTCTGACTGTCGTCTATGGAGGTTCTTGGTGATCCAGGTCTTGGTTGTCCCAAAAGTGCTTTTTCAAGAGGCAACTGGACTTTCTGCTTTTCTTTGAAGATGTTTCACCTCATCTAAGAAGTTTCTTCAGTTCTGAGAGAAACATCTTCAAAGAAAAACAAGAAAGTCCAGTTGCCTCTTGAAAAAGCAACTTTGAGGTTGTCTGACTGTCAATTTCCTATCCCTTAGTCTGAAATATCATCCAAAAATTGATATTTCTAGAACAGTGGGGAAATGAAATTCCTCTTTCCCATGAACAACTTTAAAATCTCTTCCAATTTGGGATTAGCATATGGAGATCTAATGAAAAAATACATCACAAACAGGGCCAATTCTTAACATTCGGCAGGGTTCAAGGTTACAGATTTCTTCCTTGGAATTAGAAGGCAGGGAACACTAGAGTTAAGTGTCATCAACATAGGGTGGAACCAAACTCTTTAGTTCTGGAATAGAATAGAATAGAATAGAATAGAATAGAATAGAATAGAATAGAATAGAATAACAGAGTTGGAAGGTACCTTGGAGGTCATCTAGTCCAACCCCCTGCTCAGGCAGGAAAACCTATACCATTTCAGACAAATGTTTGTCCAGTCTCTTCTTAAAAACTTCCAGTGTTGGAGCATTCACAATTTCTGGAGGCCAGTTGCTCCACTGATTAATTGTTCTAACTGTCAGGAAATTTCTTCTTAGTTCTAGGTTGCTTCTTTCCTTGATTAGTTTCCATCAATTGCTTCTTGTCCTGCCTTCAGGTGCTTTGGAGAATAACTTGACTCCCTCTTCTTTGTGGCAACCCCTGAGATATTGGAACACTACTATCATGTCCCCTCTAGTCCTTCTCTTCATTAAACTAGACATACCCAATTCCAGCAGCCGTTCTTTATATGTTTTAGCCTCCAGTCCCCTGAACATCTTTGTTGCTCTTCTCTGAACCTTCCCGAGGAGTCTCTGGAGACAAGAGACTACATTGAAGGACAACACCCAATTTCTTGGGTGTCAAACTATCTCCCTTCAGCATCACTTTCCAGACATGTCCTGAAAGGAAGGACCATCATACAGAGAGTGGTAAGGACAGCTGAGAAGATTATAGGAAGCCCACTTCCCATTATTCAAGACACTGATAATAAGTGCTGTCAGGTCCCCAAATCCTTATTGTCTCCCTTTCATATATATACTCTTGTCCTTTGCTTTGGGGCCTGCCATTCTACTGGGGGGGAGGGGGGAAATTACTTTTGCTTGGATTAACTTGCGCTTTCTGCTTTTCTTCTTCCACCTCTATCCACTTGAGAAAGGAATGTGTCTTCCTTATCAGGGAGACGGTTACAGAGAAACGGAACTGGAGAAGACCTTGAGATGTGCGCCAACTGTGCCGGTTATCCGCACATTGTACCACCTGTGGATTGGCTAGATTTCAAATGGACATTATGACTTTGGTGGGAGGAGGAATATTGCTGGTTTAACTATACCGTTTAAACAGGATTTTCCCTAGATCTCACCTTGACTTCCCTACTGTCCCTAACCCCTAATAAAAGCTTCCTTTTGAGACAATGCCTGTTTCAAGAGTTCTGCTTTCTTGGGTGGTTAGCTGAGGTGGGTTCTTGCATGCACTATGTGCTTAGAGCTCAAAGCCTTTTTAGAGACCCACACACACCCATTTCAAGCCCTGTTTCTGTTGCTCCCCTCTGGCAGGAAGTTTCAAAGTATTTGTAGCAGGACTACCAGATTCTGCAACAGCTTTGTTCCCTATGTGTGGTTTTGTGTGCTGCCTGCAGCCCACAGATGGGGCTTTGCTTGTTTGTGCGGCCTGGTTGCTGGCATGTCGCGGTCCAGTACCAGTCCATAGACCAGGGGTTGGGGACCACTGCCCTATGCCATCCCTCTGGTAAACTCGCAAGACTGGTTTTTCTCACCATGTATATGTATACATCCAAACTAGACTGTGTTGTGTCTCTGGGCCACATATGTGTGTGTATGTGGGTTATACATAATTTTATTTATTTATTTATTTATTTATTTAATGATTGGTTGGTTGATTGATTGATTGTTTTGTTTATGCTGTGTATATTGCAGTGGTTACCCTTTGAGAGTTGTATGTAATGAAATCGCATTTTAATGTATGCTGATTAGTGTACATTTAAAATAACAATAAAATTATTCTATTCTGTTCTGTTCTGTTCTGTTCCGTTCCGTTCCATTCCATTCCATTACCTATTTTCTATTCTATTCCATTCTATTCTATTCTGTTCTGTTCTGTTCTGTTCCGTTCCATTCCATTCCATTCCATTCCATTCCAATCCATTCTATTCTATTCTATTCTTTCATCTCAGACCAATGCCCTCTAGGGGTGTATCTGTGATTTTTCACTAACACACTTTTCTCCAACTTCTCCTCTGCACATGGCGACCCAGAAGTAATCCAGAATTCCCAGAGATGTTGCTCCTTACAGTAATTATTAAAATCCTGAGGTCTCTCCTGATATTCCTCCAGTGACTGCCTTTGATGTAAATATCAGACTGAAGCAACGTGGAAGGGACCTTGCATCAGGAAAGGATAAATGTCTCAGGTCACACTCTGTGTGGCGCAAATTTTGGGGCATGCAGGACAGTGCTCTTGAACATACCTTTCTCTCCTTTCCAGGTGAAGTTCTTTTATCTCTCTCTCAATCAAAAAAGTAACTCTCATTTCCATTTTTTTAGAGTGCTTTGAATTCTTTGAACTCTTGTTGTCATTTAGAAACAAAAAGGGGATTGATTCAGCTGCGTGAATTATGGACATTCTCCTTCTGCTTCTGCTCCTGCTGATGTCTCAGCCAGTCTCTGGGAAGCTTAGATTGAAGTGCCCACTGAATTTGCAGCAGCAGGATGGAAAAAAACAATGGAGCTATTACAGGCTAGGAGACCATCTCATTAGTATAGTCTCCTCTGCCACAGTAATGTCCCCTATAACAGTGTCTTTCAACACAGCTCCTTATAATCAATCTCCCTTGTAAGTCATTTAGTGTGATGGAGTTGCATTTCCTCCATTTTCAATCCTAACACTCTTCTTTCAGTTACTGCTATATTTTCTAATTTCTTGAACCATTTGGATTTCCATGGCTTCTTCTTATGTCTTATTTTAAGGGACCCAAATTCAAAGATGGGGCAACTCAGCCCACCCGAAGTCCAAATTATTTTCCCCTCTCTGTACAATTCTGAGTTAATCACAACTGCTTGTAAGCGTTAAATGCTTAGAGCTTGAAGCATTCTATTCTATTCTATTCTATTCTATTCTATTCTATTCTATTCTATTCTATTCTATTGTTAGAGACCCCACACATCCACTTCACAGTCTGTTTCTGTTTACTCCCCTCTGGAAGGAGGTTTTGAAGTATTTATAACAGAACTACTAGATTCTGTAACAGCTTTGTTATTTTTGCCATCCATCTGGTAAACTCAGAAGATTCATTTTAATAGCCATGTATATGTATACTTCTGAACTAGACTGTATTGTTTCTCTGGGTCATTTATGTGTGTGTGTGTGGATATATGTATAATTATTATTTTTGTCATGTTTATGCAGTGTATACTGGAGATGGTTACCCTTTGACACCCTAATACAATGAAATCTCATTTTATTGTATGCTGATTAGTGTCCATGTAAAGTCACAATAAAGTTATTCTTCTATTCTGTTCCATTCCGTTCCATTCTATTCTATTCTATTCTATTCTATTCTATTCTATTCTATTCTATTCTATTCTATTCTATTCTTAACTGGCTTATTGAAAAGTTTATAGTTTCCTCTGGCCAACCCATTTTCCTATTTTTATAACTACCCTATTTTTATAACTATTCAATGCCCAGTCCTAGTAGGAATAGAGAATCACCTATTTTTAGAATTGCTTTTCTGGGTCACATGAAAACTTCACTTTGATAGTGATTCTATTTTCATGATTGAATGATTTTGAAACTTGGTTATGGCACAAATTGAAAATGAGCACTATTAAAAGTAATGATATATTTGTGAATATTAAATCTCCATCCCACTTTTTCAACAATCATAAAAATTAAGCAGTGATGGGTGAGTATAAATTTGCTTCTTGTTTTGGACAAGAGATGATATTATCATGACCATTTTTTTTATAGCAGTTTATTTACTGATCCAGCAAGAATCCTACGCTTCATTTTTGCCATTCAACAAATCAACAAGAATTCTCAGCTTTTGTACAATCTCACACTTGGCTATAATATCCATGACAATTATATGAACACCCTTGGCACTTCAGATGCCTTGCTGGACATGCTCTCAACTGGAGAAGCTAATGTTCCCAACTACAGCTGTGGAAAGAAGGACAATCTTTTGACTTTTCTTGATGGAGCTCTTGATGACATCTCTATTCAGATGTCAACATTAATGGGCACCTACAAAGTCCCACAGGTTTGTGTGTGTGTTTATCTAGTAAAGTGAGCAGGGTGGTGGTGGGTGGGTAATAGAGTCAATTGTATCTTTTCTATGGAATTCATGAGCTGCTATTTACCATGCCCAATGTCATGGCTAGGGATTGGGATCCACAGTGGGGAGGACGCCTAAACATTTAATCAAGCAAGACTTGAGAAATTGTACACAACGTTAAATATGGAACATTTAAGCAAGTCTCTAAAAATGATCTGATTTATCAGAAAGTTTTGATTCTAGAAAAGTATTTACAGAAAGTTTAGTAATTTTTTTTAGAAAAAAGAGTATTTTTCCCAGCAAGGTTGAAGAATTTGAAAGTATATAGTTAACTTTGTTAATAAAAATGATAGTTTGCAAAGATTATTAGGTTCAAATAGAAATACATACTATTCCCAGGGCAAGGAAAATAAAACAGGAATGGTTAAATTGATCATCCTATTTAAAAAGGAGAATGTATTTGAGTATGTTTTTCATTTGGATACCACTTCTGGATTTTGTGCTTGTGGTGAAAAAAAAATGAAACATTGATTTTGTCGATTAAATTTGTCATTATAGAAATGGATAGTTATATATTAATGTGTAAAAACAAAAAGCTGAAGCTGTAGTGTTTTTATCTTGTACTGTGTTAAAAAGAATCAGAAGTCAATATCTTTATTTTCCATTTTTCCCTTGTACCCCACACCTTCTCTTCCCCTCTCCTTTTCCCTCCCTTAATTTCCTATTTCTATTTTTCTTTGCATGTTATATATTAAATAAAAATTAAAATTGCAAGGTAAAAAATAAAAATGAACTGATTTGCATTTGCAGTGCTCTAGAGATTGAAGACATACACATCTATTATCGGAATGTCAATTTTATAAGAAAAGGGAGACATCAATGTTTTAGACCCCAAATTAAATACAGGATTAAATTCAGTCTTGTTGATTCTTGTTGCCTTTTGTATTCCTTAACTTGATATGGCCTAATGGCTAATAGCAATAAATTAGTCTAATATGTTCATGAGAACCACACTGGACATTTTAAAAGCTTACATTTTAGACTTGCTCTGACTTAAATATAATACACCAATCTTTGCTGCTTTTTCAGATCAGTTATGGAATTGTTTCAGAGGATCTGTGTGATAAAAGTCAAATCCCTTTTTTCCATCAGATGGTCCCCCAAAATGGGATCCAGTACCCAGGAATTGTCCAACTACTACTCCATTTCAGATGGACTTTGATTGGTCTCTTTCCACCGGACACAGAGGAGGGAGAGAATTTCATGAGAACTTTCACTCCTATGCTTGTCAGAAATGGAATTTGTGTTGTTATCTCACAACAATTCTCAATGACTAGACCTACAGAACCTCTCAGAAATGCCATCTCTAAGTGGAGACAAGTCAATGTCTTTGTTCACTTCCTAGAATTTGTTTCCCTTTTCGATAGAATTCAGCATATCCATTTAACACTTGAAGGTTTGCCAGGACCCATTGAAGGGAAAGTCTGGATCACCACAATCGTGGAGAAATTGAAAATGTCAAGGCATACACTTTTCAAATATATCCATAGTATTTGGGCCTTTGCTTTTCAGGAAAAAAAATGGCCAAAGGATGAAGCCTTTCAACCCAGTCTTTTTTGGGATTCCAAATTTCAAGATCATTCTTTTCATTGTTCTTTTTTAAAGCACGTTCTTTCAGTCAAGGGCCGGAGACGATGCACCCAGAGAGCACCACTGGATATTCAGGAGAAGAGCAACAGTATTCAGATCCAAATTGACCACCGTTTTTACAGTGTTGTTAAGACTCTGGCCCATGTCTTGAATGCTGCATATTCCTCAACATCTAGGAGGGCAAAAAAGGAGGAGATAGAGAGATTGGAAGCTCCAAGGCTACAACCATGGCAGGTATGGGGTCCTGATAAGGATCCATCAAACTTAGCTCCTACTTAGAAAAAAAAAATCCAATGATGATGTAGAACTTCCTTGTTCTACAAAAGACCAACAGTTTTGGCCAAGATGCAGCCAGATTTAGCTCAGAGGATTATGTTCCAAAGAGCAGGCACTGTGACAATTATATGTTGATATTAGATACTATTGTAAGGGTTTATTATAACACTATTATAAATTCCTGTACTTATGGGTTTGTAATTAGCATTATAGAATTTTATATTCATAAATTTCAGGCGAACCTGGGAGCCTTTAGCCCAACTCTTCCTCATTGCAGGAATCCAATTCAAATTTTAAGACTAATGGCTGCTCAGTCTTTGCATTTAGCCATGGTGGCACAGTGGTAGAATGCAGTATTGAAGGCTAACTCACTGTTCACTGCCAGGAGTTCGATCCTGACCAGTTCAGATTTGACTCAGACTTCCATCCTTCCAAAGTTGGTAAAATGGAGACCCAGATTGTTGGGGACAATGTGCTGTCTCTGTAAAACACTTAGAGAGGGCTGTAAAAGCAATGTGAAGTGGTATATAAGTCTAACTGCTATTGCTATTTAGGCAAATAATGAAGGGGAGACTGAACTTCTCTTGCTCACTGGCTCACCTTTAAAATTGCTTCCCCTTTTAGTATGTTTCAAGTGTCTTTCAAAATTCCTGGATGTTTCCATTCTAGTTCCATCCCTTTCTGGAGAAGAATGAGTTTTGCAATTTTTCCTGGGAGAAGCTGTACTTGGACCAAAGTGGAAATGTAGCAGCAGATCTGAATATCATAAGTTGGTTGCTTTTCCTCAAGGAGAATGCCATCAAAGAGCAACTGGGGAGTTTTGAAAGACAGAGGCTTATTATCAGCCAAGATGCTCTTTCACGGCTAAAGTTGCTCAACAAGGTGGTTGAAAATAGTGGCAAGTTTTCTATGTCTGTATGGTTGGTGTTAGTGACCACTGAAAGAGCAGGCTCAGATATTTTAAAAAAAACGTATCTGACCAGAGTTATTCACACCTCTGTTTCACCCCATTGGGATAGAGTAATAGGCCTCCTGTTGCTAGGAAGGTGATCCAAGTTGTTCAGTTAAAACGGAATCACAATGACTTGTCTGATGTGAGACAATATCTTAATTTAGAAAAATGAAGGGCTGAAAATGACTTTGACTCCCCTCCCCCCCCCCAAAAAATCCTTTTTTGATGCTTGAAATAATGACGGTCAATTTATAATGAAAGGCAATAAAGAAATGTGGATCTGTCTTTCCATGTCACCTAATTGTAGTAAGTCTGGGAAATAATGGAGGACAGGGCGTCCTGGAGTGCGGTGGTCCTTGGGGTGTCAAAGAGTTGGACACAACTAATAATAATAATAATAGTAGTAGTAGTAGTAGTAGTAGTAATAATAATAATAATAATAATAATAATAATAATAATAATAATAATAATAATAATAATAATAATAATAATAATAATAATAATAATGTTGGAAGGGACCTTGGAGGTCATCGAGTCCAACTCCTTGCTCAGGCAGGAACCCTACACCATTTCAGACAAATGGTTGTCCAGTCTCTTCTTAAAAACTTCCAGTGTTGGAGCATTCACCGCTTCTGGAGGCAGGTTGTTCCATTGGTTAACAAAACTGTAATTCTTCGACGGAAAGGATCTTGTCTTGAATCTAACAAAATGAAATTCAATGGTGAAAAAAGCAAGGTTGTACATTTAGGCAAGAAAAACCAATTGCACAAGTACAACATAGGTGGCACCTTGCTCAATAGTAGTAACTGTGAGAGGGACCTCGGAGTCCTGGTGGACAATCACCTAAATATGAGCCAGCAGTGTGCTGCAGCTGCCAAGAAGGCCAACACAGTGCTAGGCTGCATTAACAGAGGGATAGAATCAAGATCACGTGAAGTGTTAATACCACTTTACAATGCCTTGGTAAGGCCACACTTGGAATACTGCATCCAGCTTTGGTCACCGCTATGTAAAAAAGATGTTGAGACTTTAGAAAGAGTGCAGAGAAGAGCAACAAAGATGATTAGGGGACTGGAGGCTAAAGCATATAAGGAACGGCTGCTGGAATTGGGTATGTCTAGTTTAATGAAGAGAAGGACAAGGGGGGACATGATAGCAGTGTTCCAATATCTCAGGGGTTGCCATAAAGAAGAGGGAGTCAAGCTATTCTCCAAAGCACCTGAAGGCAGGACAAGAAGCAACGGGTGGAAACTAATCAAGGAGAGAAGCAATCTAGAACTAAGGAGAAACTTCCTGAGTGAGAACAATTAACCAGTGAAACAACCTGCCTCCAGAAGCGGTGAATGCTCCAACACTGGAAGTTTTTAAGAAGAGACTGGACAGCCATTTGTCCGAAATGGTATAGGGTTTCCTGCCTGAGCAGGGGGTTGGACTAGATGACCTTCAAGGTCCCTTCCAACTTTACTATTATTATTATTATTACTTAACTGGGCCTTAGAAATATCCCTTTCCCACCCAATGTTCATATTCATGTCCCATGTGCTGCATCAAAAGTTACCTAACTTACCCATTTTAAGGGACATGTTCTCATGATTTCATCTCCACTCATCCTCACTATAATTCTAGAAACTAGGCAGTAATGTTTAGTTTTATTTCACCAGCATGGCCGCTGTATGAACTGAAAATATAAATGTACAGATATAACTAGATTACACCCCTAGTATGTGAGGTATTTTTTCTTTATATCTTAACTGGAACAAAGTTTTGGACTATTTTTAATGGGGAGTGGCTTTGCGATATTTTATTTAGTCCAGAAAAAATCTTTCCTGATCTTCCTGCTCAGAATATTCTTTCTTAATCAGTCTCAGTTTATTTTAATAAATCTAATACGTAAAAATTTAGCAGATATTTTGGAATGAATTCTGTTTTTCTGCTTAGTCTCTGCCTCAGTCCAAATGTGTGGACAATTGTCATCCTGGATTTGTGAAACGGGCTCGGGAAGAAGAACCAGTTTGCTGCTATGATTGTATTCCTTGTCCGGAGGGGACCATCTCCATTCAGGAAGGTGAGTGACACCAGAGAAGAGGGCACTGGATTCAACCAGAGCATTTTATCAAAGTGCATGTAAAGAGACACATGTGAACTTGATTGTTTTATTCCTCATTGTTATTTTCTTTTCTTTTTTAAATACGTTTTATTGATTTTTAACATAATCACCCTAATATTTGACAAACAGCATGTTGTCTGGGTTTATATTTAAAAAACAATCAATAACAATTAATTTCTATAATTCTATAGTCCATATAATGGTTTTGCTTGATTTTCTCTTCTTCCAATAATATTCTCTTTTGCCAACCTTAAATTAATACAGTTCTTATTATTTGAATAAATGACAATTAAATATAGACATTTTTCTCATGTTTCTGCAAATAAGAACCACATCAATATAAAGCTTCTTTTCTAATTGATCATCTTGATTGCCTCATCATAGATCCTGTTTACAAAATTCTTATTTAAATTTGTTTTCCCCACAATATTCAAAACATTCTTACTGGTTAAGATTTTCTCAAAATTAGTTACACTTAAGTATATAAGTCTTTTTTCTCATACAAGCCATCCCAACAGTTTTACATTTCTCATATATTAAAAAAAGAAAAGGAAAAAAAAACAGAGAAAACATTTCTTTTATATAAACCATCCCAACATTTTTATTATTCTTCATTGTTATTTTCAACGTGTCCCATTTTTCCATAATGGTAGGACTAAGAAAAAGATCTTGAAGAAAAAGGCAGGAAGAGATAGAAGAACATGCTGGATTGAGCAAGATGAATTCTGCTAAGAAAGTATCTTTTATACTTGTCAACTTGGAAGTTTCCTTCCATGTTTATTATCTAAATTCTTGAGGATTGGTTTCAGGCCAATGGGTTTTGCTCATCCAAACCAATTTTATCTTACAGGCCAAAAGCTATATCAATCAATCAGTCAGTCAGTCAGTCAGTCAGTCAGTCAACCAATCAATATTTATTAAGATGATCAAGGTGGTGGCTGAAGAGATCCTCTTTTAACTTAATAAAGATAAGGGTTCCTCAAAGTGATTAATAAATGAAAGGCACCTCTTACAGTCAATTTGAAAAATAAATTCCAAAATGGCTGCCTTTTGAACAACGAAGTGATTTGCAGATCACTCCAGATCACTCCAAAGCACAGCTCCTGAAGCTACTTGCAGACTGCTGCTGTATGGAGGATTTTGTGTGGGGTGTTTCTAGGACTCTGCCTAACTCAGAAGAGTCATATAAACTAAAAGAACGCCGGTTCCTTCTGTTAGTAAGTTGAAAAAAATGACAGTCTGGAGAAAACCCTTTCAAGGGACTCCCAAGGGAATCTTCTCTGAGTATATTGTCAGTTGGCCATCTTCACCGAAAGTCACCATAATGCCCATCAAGAGGATATCAGTATGAGAGAAGGGATGTAGAACAAAGTTTTCATTATTGGAGATATTGCGCTAATTATCCATGTTTTGGATTAAGAGGTAAAACACAACAATTGTTAATAGACCAATTCAACAGTATAAGGTTTAACACAGCCATTATAATGGATTTCTTGGTAGGATTGCTACTGGATCTTCCCCCTTCTCCTATCTTTCAATGTTCTTGCCTATTATATAGTGAAATGCAAAACAATCACCACATGAACAAAAAAGGAATACAGTTGTGTTTGTGAAAGGAAAGAAAAGTATTTCATACTCTTTTAGGATTAAAAAGAACCAGAGATAACATAAAGGAGAGGAAATGGAAAATTAACTTTAAAAAAACCAATCTACATAATATCCATTAATATCTATCTGGAACCCAGTCAGCCTTTAAAATTGTCATCACACCTAGAGAATATGGAAATATATTGCTTTATCTTCTCATTTTTAGAAGCTAAAGACATTGAGAGACAGATAACAGACTCAGTATCTCTTCTTGAATTATTTCACAAATTAATTTTTTGATACTGTAAATCATGATATCCTTCTGGCCTGATTTCAGATGGCAAAGGGTCATCTTTCAGGTCTTGAGGAGCTCTCCTTTCTTCCTTATCATTTACATGAAACTGCTATGTGAATTCATTTGCCACAATGGGGATGGTATAATCAGTATGCTAACCATGGCTGGGCAGTTGTTGCTGGTGTCATGCTGGCTGAACACCTATAGACTGTGTGGACTGGATGGGGAGGAACCAACTTTGACTCAACCCTAGGAAGATAGAGTGGCATCCTGTTTTGGGGCCCCTCAAGGTTCTAGTGATAAGCCATCTCTGAATATGGAGGGAGATGATGAACAAGTTGTGGGTCTTCCTAGACTCTTGCTACAGTTTGTTGTGCAAGAGGAAGCCATGGCTAGAGAAGGTTTCTTGTGCACTAACACTGCCCTTTCCTGCAATGCGGGGTCTTGCTCATGCCTTAGTCAATTCCTGTTTGAATTACTACAATATGTTCTACATGGGGCTGATCTTGAATACCACCTGGAATATACAAATGGTCCAGAATGCAATGGTATGTACAATGTTGGGTGCCCCTATATTCTTCCATACTACACCACTATTACATAAGCTGCACAGGCTCTCAGTTGTCTTCCAAATGCAATTAAATGCACCTTTAAAGCCCTACTTTGCATAGGGCCAGGGTATCTGTGGGACTTCCTCTACCTGAGAATATCTGCTTGTCCCACTATAGCAGATATAGTAGACACACTCTAGGTCTCTTCCCTAAAACATTGCTACCACGTGGATCCTCAAAAGCCTGCCTTTTTTGTTGCAGCTCCTGCCCTATTGAACACTGTCCCCATTGAAACCCAACAGGCCTCCACTCTCCTAAAGCTCTGGAGACCTGGTTGTTCTTCCAGGCATTGGGAAGCAGTGAGGTCAGGGCAAGATTGCAACAAGGTAGATTGCCTCAGTGAAGAGTGTTTACGGTGCCAAT